TGGCCGCTGTTGCTGTCTGGTTTCCGATGATTGTTCTGAAGTGAATGTGCGTGCCGCCGTATCTAGCATCTGCATCTCATCCTCCTGTCCTTGGCGGCCTGTCACCCCTTTCTTGTCTGGGATGTTTCTTTTCCATGGTGTTACTCTCTCCCTGGGACGGTTTTCTGCTCGAGCATCGTAACACTGGAACTGAGACGGGAATAACGTTTGGCCAGCGGAGAATCCAGGGCTCTCATTCCACCCTTCCTCAGTCTCTGTTTCGACCGTTCTCGCGCCACTGCTATGTAGTGGCCTTGAAATTTAACATTTTCGTGGCCACCTTCTCCTCCCATCTTCCCCTCCCCGTCTCTGCCCCCCGCGCCCCTCTCTCTCGGCCGTCTGTCTCTCCCATGTCCCCCAGGTCGTAGTGCGGAGCCGATGACGTGTTTCGTCCTAGGAAAATAAGCGGACGACGTGTACTGGCAGGCATGTGCCGATGCCTTCTACCGTCTTCCCCCGAACATAACGCACACCCATCATGACTGTACCGAACCGGATAGATAGCTTGTATACGTTCAAACCAGGTTGCGTTGTGTGCGGGAGAAGACGGTAGCAATGGTCCGCATATTTGGCCACTGGCAAAGTGAATAGACTCCTTGCCAGTGCGTGGGGAGTTTGCTCAGGCGGGGAGGATGTGGATGCCCTCCGTCTACTCTAATACAACGCACCTTTGCACGGTCGCCCTCACTAAATTCACCCTCATCATGACTCACCCTCACCAGTGCGCGAGGAAGTTTGCTCAGGCGGGGAGGATGAGGATGCCTACCGTCTTTCCCTAATACAACTCACCCTTGCACTGTCAGCGTCGCTAAACTCACCCTCATCATGACGCTATCAGATGGGATAGACTACTTGTATACACGTGATCAGGGAGGATGAGGTTGTTGCGTTCGGGGGAAGAAGTCGGTAAGCTGCACGGCTTGCCTGTCGGTAAGCAAAGTTTGCTTCCAATGAGATGTGAAGGTAAAAGGAATCTAATCAAAGAAGATTATCAGGATCATTAATTTATAAGATTTATGATATGATGATTGTAGTTCGGTGAAATGTGTCGATGAATAGGTGTTGCTGATCGTATAATCGGTAATGCAAAGAAGTAAGGGGATAGCGAACATGGAGTCACGTGTCCGTGTGTGGCGTAAGATGGCGCTGAATGCCTAAAGATTTAACGACTTGTTGGATTGACCGTGGTGCTGAGTGGACCGTATCCGCGTTTTTTTTTAATTTGCCTGAAGATTATTCTGAGCGGGAAGAATAGTGTAGGTAGTGGTGAGATTGCGACGGCCGCGCCCAAGACTAGTGTACATAATTTCCGATCAGAGTGCGATGGAATGGGCTTTTGGACTGATGGTGGTGATGATGATGATGGTGATGATGATGATGATGATGATGATGATGATTGGGGTGTGGACGATGTAGGAGGATGTTGATGATGTATATGATCAAAGCTGTCGTTTATTTCTTCGTTTCCTTTGTCGGAGCAGGTGTTAAACTGATAAGTTTGTCTAATGTTCTTTTGTGTTACTTCTTTCTTTTTTTCATCGTTTTTCGGTTAAATGAACGTCCCCCTC